CCCCAAAACCCCAAAACCCCAAAACCCCTGTTTATTCTAATGGATTGATAAAACTGCAACCTATATTGGCGGCAAAATTTAATTGCTTTGTTAAAGAATTGGTTGATATAACTTCGTCTTTGCCAAGCTAAATACCTGTTCAACAGGAGTTTGCAATGGAGAGGACAATGCGATAATCAAATCTCTCTGCTTCCAAGTGAATATCTCCACGCTCTCTCCAAACCCACCCAAGCTCTTTATTTATGAATCTATCTTCGAACACTGAATGCAAGAACTGGTCTCTATCCATAGACTTTTTGCCTAATCTCTACAAAGGGCACTTTGGTATTTCACAGTTTAAATCGTAACAGAATACTTCAAGAATTTTACGAGGAGATCTCCTCCACGAAAATACAAGGAATTCATTATATCCTTGCTATTCTTCACTCCTTTTGCTTTATTCTGAGTTCCTCCTTTGACAAACGTGCTTTAAGTGAAAGCAAAGGACAGGGGAGTTAATAGATAAGTGAACGAAGGTCATAACTGTAGGTGCCGGATTTAGGCATCATTAACTTAATCCTCCTCCTTTACATGATTCCTCCTCTTTGAGGGTTCTTCTTTCCAGTCCATTAGAAGTCTTCCTCATTTTACAGAATATTTTGAATGTAGCTATTTTCTGTTCCTCGAGCTAATTTTTAGTGTGTATTTATACCCCTCAGCTGTTACTACGACATTCTCTACCCGCATCTGACACAAACTCAAACGCTTGGCAGAAATCTACTGTCAATCTTATGGAGACAAGCAAGCATTCTATTTGGCTAATAACAAAATCGGTCATGTCATTATATCGCTTGAAGTTATTTACAAACTTGACCATCCAACCTTTAAACTCTTCTCCAAGGCATACATCATCAAGAGTATGGTTTTGAGGTGAGTAGAACTCAGTCATAAAGCTTTGAAGCCCTGATCTTGCGGCTTTGGTGTACTTCTCCACATCCTTGCTGGTTCTACCAAGATCGAACATGCTGAACTTGGCATTACAGCAAGAAATTAGAATCAAGCAGACAAGATCCACTATTATAGACTTCATTTATATTTTTACAAAAATTCAAGCTTTTAGACTTGTTTGGGGTTTTGGGGTTTTGGGGTTTTGGGGTTTTGGGGTTTTGGGG